AGGCCGGTCCAGCCGACCGGGACGGGGGTCTCGGGCCGCCTCCGCGGAGGGCTCCGGCAGCTGGCGGGAAGCCCCCACCGCCCGAGGTCCGTGAGGCTGCCGGCGCCGAGCCAAGCCCTGAGCCGGGTCCCCCCACTCACGCCGGTGACAAGGGGAGGGGGACGGGGGGTCCCTCCCGGGGGGCTGACAGAGCGCCCAGCAAGTGCGCGGTATTTTCAGCGCAGCACCTAGCCTCGGCGGCGGCGCGCACAGCCGAGAGGCAACTCCGGATTCGCGATTTCCTTTCAGTGCTGCCTTTCCATAATCGGCGAGTACGAGTTAGGCACTGGAATCGGCGTTTCGAGTAGAGCTTGAAAACTCCTTTACCTGCTCCAGCCACAGAAAAGTTGTTCAGCAGTGCCTCCTAATGCTTGCGTAAAGGTGATCCTGCAGGTCGTTTAACATGCTGTTACTTTTTGCATCCTCTGTAAATCATGTATTAGTGTTGAGCGTGGAAAAACGTCACTTGTCTTTTGCTGCGTGGAGTCCTGCTGGCAAATCCATCCCAGCAGCAGCAACAGAATTTGGGTCCTCCCCGGAGAAGAGAGCTGTCAGGCTAACACAGACTAAATCTTGAGTATGCATTAAATGGAAAGAAGAGCAGTTTATGGAACTAGCATTTCCTGAGACAGCAATCTTTGGTGAAAATTAAAAAGCACGTTAACATGAAATGAAGGAAGAATAATCTGCCTAAATCAATGGTTATTTCCTAAGGGAGATCAGATATGCTCAGAGGACACGGTAAAATATTTCGTTAGAAAAGGTTGTCCAGTTTTAACCTAGAATTAATGGTAAGTTTACAAAAGACTAGGTTTCTGCTAAAATAAAGATGGGCTGTTCACACGCAGAAAGATTTTGAACCCATCCTCAACTCCACTATATATCTGTGTTTTGGTGTAGGACAGATAAACATCTAATCTCTTTGTGCCTCTGCATCCCATCCAGAAAAATGGGTTGATAGTTTTCTCTTACAGCATGACACTGCTGATGAATTCATTACAGGTTTTTTTGCATTTCTTGTTTGTTACTGTGCTGAATTATCTTGGAGTTCTTGTGTTACCCTCTGAGCTTTGTCCGACTGTTTTATATGCAGTTAGTAATAGTCTCTTCCTCTAAAAGGTTATGGTTCAAGCAACAGACAAGCAGTGAAAGGGACAAAGCCTGTAACAAAAAAGAAATCAAGTATCATGGTCACTGAAAGAATAGTTTGTATATCACCTAGTGGTGATCAACCAAAGCTGCT